TGTGTGTGTGCCAGGGATTAAATACAGAGCCACATCCCCAGCCCTTTTTATTTGGAGATAGGTTCTCACTAAGTTTTTCTGGGCCTCAGTTGCTGAGGCTGGGCTGGAATTTGTGATCCTCCTGCCTCAGCTTCCTGAATTGCTGATATTATAGGTGTTTAGCACTGCGCCTAGCAAATGTGTATTKTAATTTTATATACTCTGTAACAGTTTTCTCTAGGTTTTAATACCCAGACCCCTTTATAGTTGTGGTCAAAAATGAGATCCTTGGGCTGGGATGTGGCTCAGTGGTACAGTGCTTGTCTATCTATAACTAAAAAAAAAAAATAGTAAATATTAAAAAGATGGGATCTCTTATAAATAAGGCATAATTTTTAAGATTCTAGGATTGAAAAAATAAGATTAGGGATTGAATTCAGAGGCGCTTTATACTGGGCTACATTTCCAACCTTTTTTATTTTGAGATACTACTGTCTTACTGTGTTGCAAATGCCACTATACCCAGCTCTTAAGTATTTTTTATTTTGGAATTCTTTTCAAGATGGTTCCTTATTGATACATATGACTGATATCAATCATGGTTCCTTATGACTCACAATGGAGTGTTTAAAGATTTTTTTTCTTGAGGCCAGGCATGGTGGCACCCAACTGTAATTACAGCAACTTGGGAGACAAAGCATTTGAAATTCGAGGCCAGCCTCAGCAATTTAGTGCCAGCCTGTCTCAAAATAAAAGGGCTTGAGCTATATCTCTGTCATATAGCACCCCTGGGTTCAGTACTCAGTACCTTAAAAATGTTTTTCTTAACCATGGAAATTAAAATTCGTTAAAGGATTCTACAGCATAAAACAGTACAGATTATCTTCTCTACATAGAGCTGTCAATTTTGGTACACCTTGGCTACTAATGGTAAACTACTATCTTGTTAATTCTTAAGTTCTTTTTTTCCCTACAAAGTAGTAAGATAATTGAATGCCCTACTAAAGTTTCACTTATTTATTTTCTAGAATCCAAAATGATTGAGAAGCATGGAGGATACAAATTCAGTGCTCCAGTTGTGCCAAGTTCTTTCAATTTTGGAGGCCCGGCACCAGGGATGAATTGAGTTCTCAGTTTCTTTCCTGCTGTGTGATTGTAGTGAAGAGCTTGTGTTCCTCCTAGTAGTGGTTCCAGAACTGGTTCATGTTACCTACTCTAATTGATCAATAGATGGACAAAAAAAACCCAGGAGGTGGGACCTGATCATGCAACCTGGCACTGGAAGTGAAACCAGAGGGATTTTTGTGGGGAGGGGGGTTAATGTGGGGGTATTTTCTTTATTTTTTGAAGAAAGTAAGATCCTGACTCTGAAGCTTCAAGTGACACTGTGGAAATCTGAAACAAGAGGGTATGTCATGAAGGCAGCTTTTCTTTTTCTGAGGAAAAAATAGGCATGGGCTACAGGACTATTTAAAATGTCTCATTTACAGTATAAAGCTCAAAGGTAGATGTAATTTTTACACCTATGAGTATTTGTCCGATTTCTGTCTCTTCCTCACCATTGGGTATCCTTTGTATGTAAATAAGATAAGGTAATATGATAGCCTTATTCAGTCTTCATTTTCATTCATCAAAGATTGTTCCTATGTAGATTATTGGACATTTATTGTAGCACTACATAACTGATTTAAAAATCTGTAAATGAATTAGCACTTTCATATTGAAACAAGCCTGCTAGCCTATGTATAAAAGCAAAAATGTTTGCTGTTTATAAAAAGGGATGTAATAGGGTGGGGGGCAGGGGTAATTTCAAGTTATTAATTTAAAAATGAACTAGCAATTTTGTAACTGGTAACTTTGTGGTACACTCACCTCTGATAGTGACTTGAATTCGGTATGTAAAAAGGGGTTAGTGATATTTCATTGCTGCTAAAAATGGCAACTCCCTCTGTGTCCTGTTTTTTTTCTTAAAGCTCTCAGTGTACAAGTGAATATTTGGATACAAGACCTTACTGTAACAAACAAGAAAGGTGATATCTGAAGCATGTAAATTGGATATAAAGTTCTGCTCTTAAAGAGTTGATCTTAGAGTATGGCTAAACATCTATATATGCAATATTAAAAGAAATTAATTCGGCTATTATGTCTTGATTTGATTGCAGTTTTGTTCCTATTTATAATTTCTTCCCTTCATTGACCTGTTTTAATCCAATAACAAGAAAAAATGCAAAATGCATCCTTAACAGTTTACGTCATCTGCCTATTTCCCTTTGCACAGCTCCTCTGCCCCTCTTGATGATTGTGGTATCTGACTCTTATTTATAGGCTGAAGGCACATGGTTTGCTCCAAAAACCACTATTGATACCACTGGAAAAACGAGCCAGCAACAAGACAGTGTCGAGAGGTTGGCTTGCTCCCCTCTCTTCTAACTGCATGTTGAAAATAAGCCTTTATTGATCTTAAAACGTTTCAGATGAGTCATACATTGGGTTATTTTTTATATACATGTATACACAATATTTCAAATTGAAAGCAACATCTCAGTGGATTCAAACTTACATGCTATTGTCTAAAACATTAAAAATTTGTAAGTATAAGAATAAAATGCACATAGATATTTAAAATGCATAATTAAGGAAACCCATTGGTGTTGTGCTTTTCTTGTATATCAATAATTAAGCCACTATTGCTGGCACTGTTTGGTTTTCTATTAACACAGAAGGAGTGAAGTATTTCCTATATTTATGAATTTACTAAAATCTTGGCAAAAAAAGAAAAAATTGTCTAATGTCTATGAGTGAAAACTAACTAATCAAGTATGTTTCTACTGCCCTGCCCCCAGACACCAACTGTATACCTTAAATTGCTTAAGGGGATTTCACATTATATAAAATTAATAAAAAATGGAGTAGTTGTATATATGCAGCATTGTGTACAGAGGGGAGATATTAAATAGTATTTGTCTTCCTTTACCTCTTTTTTTTTGTCCCCTACTTTTTAAAATTTCAAACTTATACTGCTCTTTGAAATGATAATTCCAGTTTTCACATTGTTATTGGAAAACCATATCTAATAAAGGTTTTAGTTACTCCCATGAACAGAACGACAATTCTCATTTGGGGTTTTGTTTCAAGAAGATATATTGTCATGTCTTTGAGAACAAGTTTTATTGTCTCCCATTAATTGGTTCCAAACTAATCTCCATTATTTATTTATTTATTTTAAGTTATACATGGGCACAATATCTTTGTTTATTTTTATAAGTGGTGCTGAGGATCGAACCCAGGTCTTACACGTGAGAGGCTAGCGCTCTACCGCTGAGCCACAACCCCAGCCCCACCATTGTAGACTTTAACTCCAAATTATACCTTATAATTAAACTACTTAAATAATGTTCAAATGATAGCTTTTAATGAATCCAATATATACCTCAATTTTCATGATTTCCTTAAACAATACCAAATTACAGTTTGTTACAGATCATATGTCTTAATATGTTTGAGTTTCTACATGGGAATGCAACTCTTGTAAGTAGTTATACATAAACACCTTCCCACCCCATACATAAACACCCTCCCACCCCAACCTGCCCTGCACTGGGCATTTGAACCCAGAGGTGCAATTGCAATGGAACTACGTCCCCAGCCCTCTTTTGAGACAGGTCTTGCTAAATTGCTGAGGCTGGCCTCAAACTTAAAATCCTTCTTCCTTAGACTCCTACCTCTCTGGGATTATAAGCATGCTCCACCATGCCCAGGTATAAATTTGTTTTTGACATATTAAGATAGTGACTGCTGTATTTTGCTCTAGAAGAGACTATAGGAAGGGCCAAACCAGAGCCTCATAGCTATATACCGCTATTCAGCCCAAATATACCCTCTTCCTGAAGCAAGCATGAAGAAAAAGTCATTAAGAATTACCATAACATACTGTAATACCAGCTACTGTGGCAGTAGGATCACAAGTTTGAGAGGAACCTCAGCCACTTTAGCAAGATTCTATCTCAAAATATAAAGTGATGGGTGTGGTGGAACACACCTATAATCCCAGCAAGGTCAAGAAGTAAATATATCAAATTCAAGGCCAGTCTCAACAAATTGGTGAGGCCCTATGCAACTTAGTGAGGCCAAATCTTAAAAAAATAGAGCTGGGGATATAGCCCAGTGGTAAAGCACCCCTGGGTTCAATCCTCAGTACCAAAAAAATAAGAGCTGGTGTTGCAGCTCCATGGTAAAGCTCCATTGGTACCACCAAGTGGGAGTGGTATTTCATGAATTTAATGAAAGTTATGTTAAATTTTTGGCAAAGATAACCTGAGGTTATTTACCATCAGTGTTTCTACTGAATTCCAGCTTCTACCCTTGCAATACCATATAATACTTGGACTTCATGGTTTAAAAAAAAAAAAAAGGTTACATGTTCACTTACATGTCCAGTGTCTTGGAATACTTTAATCTTTTTCAGAGAAGGAGGAATTGTTATCTAAATAAGTCACATATTGAAGCTAGAAAAGGTTCTTCTTGCAAGAACATTAGTTCTTTTTTCTGTGTGTGGTACTAGGGATTGAACCTATATTAACAGTAGAAATCCCTCATTTTAGCACTATGAGAGGAATTAATATCTTAGAGTAATTTTTTTTCTGGGTTTTATCATCACCCCCTACCAGGTTTTTAAAGTACAGGTTAGTTCATCTTTGTATAGTTCGATTCTGCTTCCATGCACATACTGAAGTTCGTCAGCTATACTCAATATTTGAAGCTTACATTTTAAATGTTCCTATCAAAACCTTTTTAAAGTTTCTTTTAAAAGACTGGCCAGATTAGCCAAATTTTGTACAAACGTGTAACAAAAGAGACTCCACTACTGGGGTGGGGTTGTGGCTTAGCAGTAGAGCGCTTGTCTAGCATGTGCAAGGCAATGAATTCAATCCTCAGCACCACATAAAAATAAATGTCCAACTGCAACTAAAATATTTAAAAAAAAGAGACTCCACTATATATAATATATATATATATAACAACAACAACAGAAAACCTGGCCAAACAATAAAAAGAATAAACTTCCTCAACTTGATAAAGATATCTACCAAAAACCCAAAGTTAATATGCTTAATGGTAATAATTGTTCCTAGTTCAGGAACAAGACAAGGATGCTCACTTTTACCACTAGTACTCAACATTACAAATCAAGTTCTAGGCAAGGCAATTAAACAAGAAAAGGAAGTAAAGGGAATCCAGGTTGAAAAAGTAAAAATATAGGGGCTGGGAATGCGGCTCAAGAGGTAGCGTGCTCGCCTGGCATGCGTGCGGCCCGGGTTCGATCCTCAGCACCACATACCAACAAAGATGTTGTTTCCGCCGAGAACTAAAAAAATAAATATTAAAAATTCTCTCTCTCTCTCTCTCCTCTCTCTCACTCTCTCTTTAAAAAAAAAAAGAAAAAGTAAAAATATATTCACAAGATGACATGATAGAAAATTCTAAGAAATAACATGCACAAAATGATTTTAAGATTGTAAGATACAAGGTTAATAATATACAAAAGTTAGTTGTTTATCTAAAYAGCACTATGCTAAAACTAAAATTCCACTTACAGTAGCAATGAAAGTACTTATGAGTAAATACAACAAAACAGGGTAAAACTGAAATAACTATATAAGTGGAAGATAACATGAACACACACAAATTGATCTACAGATAGCTGCAGCTATCTTTTTACCCCCTGCCCAGCAACTTACTAGCTTATCCTGAAATGTGTATGGGAATATAAAGGACCCAGAATAGACGAAACAATATTGGAAAAAGTAGATTTAGTGATCACATAGTGTTCTGTTGGTGTAAGGATGGTCCAAGAGAATAAAGTTGAATCACTAATTAAACCCTTACATTTATGGTTAGTTGATTTCCAGTAAGGGTGCCAAGAGTGTTCAACGTGGGAAATAGTCATCTTTTTGAGATACATTATCTCCATGCAAAAGCATGAAACAGGTCTCTTAGCTAATGTATCAAAGATCTGAATGAAGGCTTCAAACTATAATAAAATTCTTTGGGAAAACCATACACATAAATCTTAATGATTTTTTTATTAGGTAGTGGTTTCTTAAACTTGTATCCAAAGCACATATTTAAGGAAAAAAATAACTGGGTTTCATCAATATTGTGGTTCAAGTTGTATTTTTTGTTGTTTTGCACTGAGGGACTTGCACATACTAGGCAAGGGTTCTACCACTGAGCCACAACCCCAGCAGTCAAAAAGACTATTTATTTATTTTGATGGCAGGGATTGAACTCAGGGGCACTCACCCACTCAATAACATCCCCGCCTGTATTTTGTATTTTATTTAGAGACAGGGTCTCACTAAGTTGCTTAGCGCCTTGTTGCTGAGGCTGGCTTTGAACTCCTGCTTTAGCCTCCCAAGCCACTGAGGTTACGGGGATGCACCACCACACCCAGCCACAATGTGTAAAAACTTTTGCAGAGGGCCCCAATTTCAATCCCCAACACTGCAAAAAAAAAAAAAAAAGGGTAGGGTGGGGTGGGGATAAAGATGGACAATTACATGTATTGGCAAGGATGTGGAGAAATTAGAATCCTTACATGTAAAATGCTCATCTGTTGTGTTTGGCAGTTCCTCAAAAGGTTGTAAATAGTTTTACCATATGACTCTGCAATTGTATTCCTAAGTACATATACCAAGAGAAATAAAATACGTCCATAATACTTGCACAGAAATGTCATAGAGGCTGGGTGTGATATTGTCTCTCTGAAATAGAACGGGGGGGGGTATATGCAGAGATGTGCTTCAGTAATATCCAAAGTATAGTATTCCTAACAGCCAAAAAGGTAGAAAAAAATCTTACATGCAGAAGGCCCTTGGTTCAATCACCAGCACCACACACACACAAAAAAAAGGTAGAAACAATTCAAATATCCATCAGTTGATAAATGTTAGATTCATACAAAGAGCAAAAAGGAATGAAGAGCAAATCACATGCAATCCCAGCAGTCTGGAATGGGGAAGCAGGAGGATCCCAAATTTAAGGCCAGCCTGGGCAATTTAGTGACCTTGTCTCAAAAGGACTGAGGATGCTGCTCACTGGTAGAGCACCATGGGTTAAATCCCCAACACAAAAATAAAGAACTATAATGGGKAGGGACTATAGATCAGTGGCAGAGCACTTGCCTAGCATATATCAGGTCCTAGTTTGTTAAGAGGCATACCTTTGGGATCTTCAGGGGGTTTGAAGTTTTAGAAGTTATAAAATTATATTATTCCAGAGTATGGTGGTGCATGCCTGTTATCCCAGATATTTGGAGACTGCATGTGTGAGACCAGCCTTGGAAATCTAGTGAGACCATCTC